GGCAGAGGGCGTCCACAGTACGCCCTGTCTTGGGCTCTGCGTTGTATCTAATAAAAATTAGTTCAAATTCTATTAAAATTTTCTGAGCTTTACGTGATCAAACAAACATTGAACTTTAGTGCTTGCTGATAAATAATACAAAAGGTGCAGAATAAATTATATGTGATACCTGACGCTGTTGAGGCTGGCATCTTCTCCATCCGCCTGGTTCCAGTCGCTGACCTTCCGCAGGTACTCCTCGCTGCTGCTGGCCAGAGACTCCGCCAGCTCGCGCTCACGTTTCTATATCACAGTTGGTTAGAAATGCCAAGGAAAAAATATTACTGCGAGACACAATTTAATGCGGCGAATAAAAGTACTAGTTTCGACTACGTCCGCAGGGAATTGAAAAAAAAAATGTTCTTCCAGACTATATATCTATATTTATGCCAAATCTCATTGTGATCCATTCAGCCGTTTACTCTACAAACTCTAAAAAACATCTATCCATCCATACAGACTTTCACGTTTATTAGTAACTTTTACATTCATCCATGTTACCTTGGCAAATTGCTCAAGGTCTACTAAGAAATGCCATGGTGTAGATTTTAGAACATGGGAAGGGTTTAATTACCATTAGGCGACCCTTATTGCAAAAGTATCCAAACTTTTACTTAGAACCGTAGTTCCCTTGTAGTAGTGCAGTGTTGTGACCAACATATGTAGATACCTTGTTCCGTTCAGTGATGATGTAGTCGCGGTCCAGCTTGAGCCAGAGCAGCTCGTGCGCGATGTCGTCAGCGGTGATCTTGCTGGGCACGGCCACGGCGCCCGGGTACGCGCCCACCTGCCAACTCTCCTCCGGGGATGACTCGTTCGCCTCTTGATTTATTGAACTACATATTGAAAAAAAAAGTAAAATAAAAAAATCCCAACTGAGTAACTCGAAGAATAAAAAAAATGGAAAGACTTCATTGTTCCTAACTTTTATGCGTTTAATAGAATATTAGCTTTACCCTGTTAGTTAACATTTGTAATTGAGTTTTGTCTTTCTTTTGGGTTAAAATAGTAGTGAAATACATAAAATTAAAGAAGATGCATACATTTATATGAAATAGTAAAAAAAATTACTCTATATTACCTTGAACTAGACTGTTTGAGTGGCAACTCGTTGACGTTCTGTGTTTTTGAGATCCTTTTCTTTTGATTCTTGGCAATGATATTCTCCAAGTCGTGTTTATTGTCCCAACTAGAAACATTTAATCGTTTTACATTCCCGATATTCGCAAATTAAAATGATTTACCAGTTATTTTTGGTACAAACCTGTCAACGGGTAAAGAGTAAGTCGCCCTCAACGCTCTGCTGCTCGCAGAACCATCGAACAATACGTCCCTGCAAAAAACAAAGCAATTATGATCAATTTGCAGATTTACTCCATCTTCAAATAATATATTCAAATGTTGTTGACAATGGTAACAGGTAAGTTAAATGTCTACACTTGGTAGTTATTTATTTCTTTAGAATATCACATTTAATCGATTTGAGTAGTAATTTCGTCAATCAAATATGATTTTGTCTACAGTCTTAGATTAGAAATGTAATGCTGTGAAAGTAATTAAATGTGTACTCACAAGTCCATGATATTCTTGAGCACAAGCATGCTCTTGTCGAAGTCAGGAGCGTATTCTGCGGCCGCGCTACCTTCATGCTGTAACCACACATAATGTTATCATATTATGAGTTACTATGAGTTTTCATTCAAATCATTTGCATGAAAAGACATTAAACTGTAGAGTACAAACAAGTCATTTTGACTCGACTAAAATCATTTCTCTATACTAATATTATAAAGAAGAAAACTTTCTTTGATTGTAATGAATAGGCTAAAAACCACTTGGTCAATTTTAAAAATTCTTTCACCATTAAAAAGGTAATTTAACTGTAATATAAGCTATATTTTTTCATTTCTTTACCATTATTTTTAAATTTCACGCTGATGGAGTCGCGGGCAAAAGCTGTATATTAAGCACTGGTCAAATCAAAGTTTGATTAAAACACACCCTTACATTACATCGACATTCTACTACTATGAAATCGACATAAAATAGAACACATGACGTGAGCTTCGTTATTGAGACGATTGTTAGATGGCACTATATGTACGCCTAAGAAATATAGGAGGGAGAACTTTAGTGAGTATCTCTTTCCAATAAACGTTGAGAACCAGTGCAGTTATGTACCGTGTTGTTGTGCTGTGTTGTCGGGGTGGTGGAGGTGGCGGTGGTGGTGGTGGGCGTGGTGCGCGTGCTCCTAAGCCGCGGCACGGTGCGACGCAGCAGTGCGCCGCGTGCGTGCGCTTGGAACGCGACTACCGCGCCCCGAAGCGAAACGTACCAGCGCCGCACGCGCGCGCCGCGGTACCACGCCTGCAGCCGAGTAGCCGCCTCATGCCGCGATGACAACCATTGCCTGGAAAACAATTTTACGCGTTACTGTCTAATTTTTCTGTTTTTGTTATTGTTAAAAACTCACTGAAGTTATGATACGTTTTTAGTTTATTTCGATCGAATACTAAATTAATATAACCAAATAAAGCACACACTACCGCACTTACAGCCGAATACTGAATCGAATTTTTAATACTATATCATAGCGCCGCTTACAATCGAGCAGACGTAGAGATTTTGGTTATGAATTCAGTCGCCTGAATAAATATCCTAAAATAACTTCCTAGGTAACAAATTGGATGTGGTAGTCAATTTGATAAATCTTATAATGTAAGTGAAGTGTTGGTATTTATTTATGTACCTGCAATATCCTTGTATGAGCAGCGCGGCGCGGCGCAGCGCCAGGAAGCGCCGCCGCTCCAGCACAGCGCGATGCCAGCGCTGGATCGTGATGATGGACGCCATTATTTGTTGATGCAAACGATATTCCAGTTTCCTCTGCTCACTTTCTCTCATGAATATTTTCGTCGCTCCTGTAATATTTTACAAATATATTATTGACGCTGAATGCCACTAACATACATGGTTGTAGACGCTTATCTGATTGTACACGGCACAAATATCGATAGTAATTTTTATTTGTAACCAGCTTTTGTCCGCGACTTCTTCCGCATGGAAATAAAATAAGTTGTAACTTAGATGGTATAACATATTCTAATATTTGACTTACCAACTTGATAATTATCTCTGTCCAGATTCAAAGTGGCTAGGAAATGCCTGACATCCGCCTGCGAGCTGAGTAGTCCCTTGGGTAGCAGGATCCTATACAGCTGTATGAACTCCTCATACGTGAGGCGCACATTGTACCCCGCCTGGCGGATGCGCACTGTCTCCAGCATGCCAGTGTACCGCAGCTGACGTTGGACAGTATCCTCGTCGAAGACATTCGATATCTTATCACCGTTTGATTTTATACACCTGAAAGTTAAACAAGTTTGAGCATTATTTAAGCAGTTACGCTTCGGAAGCACTGTTTACAATCTAACAGACGTCAAATTTTAATTAAATTAGGAGCTCAGATATTGCCTTTTAAGACGGTATGGGCATCACCAGAGGAGTAAAGGGACAGTTGTCAGGGTCTCTTTAAACGATTTTGACTATAGCAACATTCGTTTAAAGTAGATTTTTGTTATTTTAAACTACGTGACTCTGTCATCAATAAACGTATCTGAGTGCAATAGTATAACAATTAACAATAACATTGCAAACAACATTATTTTTCAACCGTATTTTACAGTTCAATTAACAAAACATATAACAATTTAGATACACATATGGACCCACTAATGAACACTAGATTATCACCATTAGAGCGGACACCTTTGACTAAATTATCGCAAAACGTTATGAGATTGTTTCGCAAGCGAATCATCTGTTTAGTTGCACAACTAAAAATCGAGTCATATGTTCACCTTCATATAAGCTCATAGTAATCAAAACGCGATAAACAGTTATGCGATAGTTTAGTCAAAGGTCTTACACATACATAAAACAATCAACAAATAGTTAATAACACTAACAAACCTTATAAAGAATGGATTTGCCTGATTCAAGGTTTCCATTAGTGCTGCCAGTGAGTGCTGGAACTGAGCAGCGACGGTAAGAGGTTGTTTCCTCTTGCCCGCGGGTGCGGCCGTGCGCCCCGCCAGCGTCTTCACACTTTGTAAGTTCTTCAGACCCTTTTTAGCGCGCTCTCTCGGCCTGAACGATTTGTTCTTCCTGCCAACCCCAAAGTTAACACTCAAAATAATCGTTTAAAGTTAACACCCAACCACCGTAAAATTTAAGCATGCCAAAATATATACAAGTATTAAGTAACAACGCCCTTCAGTGCTGAAAAAAATACGAATAGAATCTATATTGTTTGATATCCAACTGTTATATACTTAAAGCTAGTAAAAGCTATTAGCCCAATATCTAATAAATAACAAATACAGAGTATAATATATAATTGCTTATATTTATGGTGCATTATTATGAAATAAATAGCATATCTATAAATCTTTAAATAATTTTTGCCCATTTTCACCATAAATGTAAGTCCACAAAATAATACACATATAAGCAAGTTCCCATCGCAATACGTAACAACTACACAATACATAACGTCTAATTAATCACAATTACAATTACATGAGTATAGAGAAAATTAAAACCATAAAGCCATCACCGATAGAAGTGAAACCGCAACCGAAAGATGATTCATCAAACAAAATTAAAAAAAAAATGAAAAAAGATAGGACAAGTAAAAAAAATTTAAAACGTCACATGATCCGTTAAATAAAACCGAATTTCACTGATGCACTTAACACTGATATTTTTGTCAATATTTAGATTTAGTAATCATTTCAGTCTGAAATGTTTTATTAGTGAGATAGTTTTACTCGGAAACGATTAATAATCTAATATTTTAAGAATTTTCACTATAAACTTTTAGGGGCACATCGATGTGCTGAATATTTTGTTTGATGAAGGTGTAGTGGGAGGCAGAGAGAGGAGGGCGGGGCGGGGGGCGGGGCGACACGTACAGGACGATCTGGCTGGCGCGCTGCATCACGTCCGCGTCGTCGAGGTCGCGGTCGAGGCGGCGCGTGCGCGTCTCGGCGATCCTGTAATGTTTGGCGGGCCGCGCGCCGCTCTGCCTACCCTCGCCGGCGCTGGCGTTGCGCACGCACACCTCGCGCGCCTTACTGCCCGTTCTGTGCGCCGTTCTTCATCGTATACGCGAAATCAAATTGCGATATTATAAATTAATGTAACAAAATAAAAATGGTGCGTCGTGACACGCATGCATCGTGCTCGAACGTGGACAGTGTCGTTACTAAAGTGTTTGGTTACATGACATCGGTATGGCTATTAGCATAACGTTCTAAACTACAAAGACTGTCATTAAATGTTAACTGTTAAAAACACAACTTTTTGGATAATATTATATATTTTTGTAGCGCTATCTTTCCACATATCATTCTGCAATTTAATTGAAATTAGAACATACAGAGAAATAATTACAGTAATTTTAAGTCCTTAACTTGGCCTCCCAAATTTGCTTTTTTTAATAAGCGCTAATATATCGATAAAATATTTTTTTCTAATGACAGTCTTGTGTACTAAACAAAATAAGGTATAACAATATATAAAACACGTATAAGCATGCGTGAAGTGCATACGAGTAGAGTATAGTGGGACATGCTGTATACTGTGTGACTTACGCAATGCGGTTGATTGCAAGATTGATTGACGATACTGTCACCAGTTGGCTGAGCAACAAGACACATCATTACATCACAACGTATTAGCACAAGCGTACGTACGTAGCGTACATCATTCTATATGTACGTTCATTTCATGTCTCATATGTGTCAACTAAACTATCTTACTATGTTCCACTGCCGAAACACTTGTATAGACATCTCTTTCACTCCCTTTGATAAAACAGACCTATACATGTTATAAAATTGAAACATGATGTATTTGCGATGATTATATCTAAAATAAAATTTCTGTCTGTTTGTCCACTAGCCGCGTTTGCACTGAGTAATATCCGAAACGGTTGGACCTATTTTGAAAAAGTAGTTAAAGTATACGGAAATTATATAGTCTGTTTTTTTTATTTGCCCGTCAAAGTCATGGATTACCGCTAGTATGTAATACAAGTGTTAGGGCAGTGTTCAATGTTAATATCACGCTGTTGTAAATTAATTATTTTAATTTCTAATTCAATCTGTGCATAATAAGAGCTTTGTTTATGAACTCACCTAATAATGTTATCGTTGACGGATTGTATGGAGGGTCGGGGAACTCTGGAGGCGCCATCTACTCGCTGCACTCGGTGTCTCCTTCCTGCTTCTAAGAATGCGAAATAACCCCTGAAAAAGATAAAAAAAAATGCTTTAAAGAAATTAAATACATTCGTTTCAAATGCTGGCCGCCAATAATAACATATTTACTACGTATTTTTCATGTTTAATAAATACTATATTTCCTCATTTCAAGGATAAAACTTAGTTTTAAAAATTGCTTGCATTTACGATTAAAACAAAACATGTTACTTATTAGTAGACTAGCTTTTGTTCGAAACTTAGTAGTTTATTTTTTCTTTCAGAATAACTTCTATGTCTATGACAAAATTAATCGAGATCTGTTTTGAACATATGTAACACATTCATCCATCCAAATTTTCGCATTTACAATAGTATGATATTAAATAGTATAGCAATAGTATGATTTATCGGGAAAAAATATTCAAAATATATTTACCTGAAAAAGGCTCGTACAATCGCCCATCTGAACACAGCGACGGGGTCAACTCCCACTAATTCCCTCACAAACGCCAGCGAGGAGTTCTTCAACACGCTCACTATGTCTTGTCGCATAAGATCTAGATTTTTCTCCCGCATCGCTGTCACCTGGAATAAAATTATTAAAATACATAATATAACGAACCCATACTAATATTTTAAAGAGGAAAGATTTGTACTTTAGATTGTATTGAAATAACTGAAAAACTAGTGGGCCGATTTCAAAAATTCTTTCACCATTGAAAAGCTACTATATTTTTAAATTCACGCAGACGAAGTCGCGAATAGTTATATAACATCTTTGTGCACCAGAGCCTAGAAAGTGTATAATAAATATATTAAACGGCACTTTTCAACTTTTTTCAATAACTTATTTAAAGTAAATCTTAAAATAAAGAGCAAATGTAAATAATAATTATCACTTACCACGTTGTTTTTGCATTTTCCATCATTACTATATCAAGCAATAACAGTTTTCTTTAGTTAAATAAATAGTGCATACCTGATATTTAACTCTGCCGGCGTAGTGTCGCACTACGAAGGCGGGCTCCCTCCGCTGGGGCTTCTCGTAGAAGGCATTCTCTTCATGCACTGAGTTGAACTTTTGTAACAATGTCTCATTTGTAGCCCATGGGAAACTGAAAACATTTAGAGAAAAATTAAGTTAATATTTCTATATTAAACATAGGGCCTGAAAACTGAGAATAATTTCGACATGGCATTATGTAAAAAACAAAAACAATTTTACATCACAGGCATTATAAGATAGATTAAACTCTCTCTCTCTCTCCGGATCGTTTCCTCATTCCTGAGGGTCGCGACCACTCTCCTTGGCACTCTCTCGAAGGGTGTTTCTCCATTCTGTGCGATTCTCTGCGACATGTATGGCGTTAAGAATAGTTGTGTTGAGAGTGGTGCATATTTGGTCCGTCCAACGCATAGGGCGACGTCCTTTAGATCTCTTCCCCTCGATTTAGATTAAACTAGTCTATACATTTTTCAAAACTTTATTTCTGTGCTAATTTTTTTGTACAAGTGTCTGGTAAAGAGAAGTGTTTGATGGACTACTCAGCAGTGGGCGTCATACGGCTGAGTAGTAGTAGTAAGGCATAAAAGTAAAGTAAGTAAATTAAATAGCATAAGGTTAGCATTGACGTGTTATGTGGAAAGATGAATCACATATAACAAGGAGAACATTAGTTATGAGTGTGATGTACCGGTAGAGGTAGACTTAGAAAGAGATGGATAGATTGCGTGTAAGATGGTGATCAAGAAGGGAGTGATGACTGAGATGAAGAAGAATAATAGAATTATTTATAGTTATAGAGGAAGGAGAAAACCCCGACAGGAAGATAATAAACAAAAATCTAAACAGATTAAGTACTAACTTGCACTGGTCGTCGAGTACGCAGAGCAGGCCGCCCGGCTTGCCCTCTATGAGCTGCAGACAGCCGGTGTTGTCGGAGAAGCCGATGTCCGTCCACCGTATGCCCTCGCGGCGGTACTCCTCCTGCTCGTACTTGAACACGTGCTGGTTGAAGTAGTACTGCAGGTGCTCGTTGGCATAGTTGATGCACAGCTGCTCAAAACTGTTGTTGGGACCGAAGTCCTCGAAACCGAATATATCCAGAACGCCTGAAAAATTATTTATAACATTATTCACTAGCGGTCGAGTTAGTGCCAACAGTATTAATTAAACACTAGCTTTCGCCCGTGACTCCGTCCGCGCGGATTTAAAAAAAGACAAATTTGCCCAGTAGTTTTTACATGAATTGAATAATACAAATCAAAAATACAAATCTTTCCTCTTTATAATATTAGTATGAATAGCCTATGTTAGTCAGAAATAAAGCAGAATTACTGTAAATTTAAAATGAAGTAACTCACCTATGCTATGTCCCTGATGTTCCCGCAGCGTGTCCTTCTTGGAGAGCAGAGCGTGGTTGACCTGCATCACTATCCAGTCGAACAAGGCGCCGTACAGGCACTTCGCCATCGCGTCACGTGTCGCTATTGCTTCCGGCAATCTGCAATTCAACAATTACACAATCTTACTGATATTGTAAATGCAAAAATTTAGGTGGATGGATGACTGGATGTTTGTTATAATTTGTAGCCGAAACGGCTGAACGGATTTAGAAGAAATTTGGCATAAACCTAGAGGATAGTCTGAAAGAACACATAGGCTACTTTTGTTTTTTCAACTCCACGCGGACGGAGTCGCGGGCGAAAGTTAGTAAATACTACATATATACTCTACAATCTCTGTCAATCTAAACACTAGCCGGGAATTACTACTATATGGGTAAAGTGAGGTTACTTAGCAGTATTCATCCACTATGATCATGTCTTGTATGCCTCGAAAATGTAAAGGTCGTAAGGTTACCGAATTCCAAACCATACAGTAATCAAAGGCAAAGTAAAGGTAACACAATTATCTTATATTTTATTAAAACATTGAAAACAAAATGGTATACTTGTATGTCAGAATTAAGATGCCATGTTTTTGTCTTTGGAATACCGCAAATAAAAACTACTATACCTGCAGTTCAAGATTTTGCAGTTAATTAACTCACCTGTAGTTAATTACGAGGGTTTCTCCGGACGCCCTCGCCCTCTTGGAGGTGAGCGCAGCAAGCAGAGTCTCCTGCTTGACCCTCAGGAGGGAGGAGATGAGGGAGACCACCTCGGGATTCCGCACCCCCACCGCCTCGTCGTGGTGGTACGACTTGCGTTGCGGTTGGAACTCTACATTACCTGGATAAATTACATTTAAGATAAGTCCATAAGACCAATTTTATGAATTCTAGACACATTAGTAAAAACAGTAGGGGAGATATCTAGAAATAGACTATTACAGAATGGTAAAAACAGTTTAATGATTATTATTCTCTAAAAATTATCAAAAAGTTTTGTCACAAGATTATATTTAGGTTAGGGTAAATCATAGATGACTATTATCGTTTTTTTTACTTTGTGTGGTTACTAGGTCTGTTAAAAGGTTAACAAAATATGTTAGTAAACAAGTTCATTAAACTGGTTGATGTTTGCTTTTAAATATTTATATTTAGGTGACACATTGGAGATAAGGAAATTTTTGCTAGTTGTAATGCCATTTAGCAGAGTTATTAGATAAAGCAGTTGATAAGAGACGTCTGTAAACCTTAAATTACTTTACGAAGTTATTAAAATACTTTGAAATCAATCAAGATAACATTAAAATTAGATAAACTCACCTAAAAGGAGTACAGCTGACAGCACAGCAAACAGTCTACGCTGCTTGTCCAAAGTAAAACCTACCATGTCCATGGATTGTTTTAATCTTGAAAACTCATATTGTTCATCAACACCCGGCACTACACTACAACCAGTCTTTGATAGATAATTATATTTGTCAACACTGAGAAGATGTAACTGTTCCCTTTCTTGTTCTGAAGCACCCGCCAACAAATAGTAAAACACATGATAATTCCTCTCATTGCGACCTTGACTGCATATTCTCGATTTTTCCAGTAAATATTTCTGCACCACTGCACCATGTACCATACCATTTTCCTTATAATTAACTTGAATAAACTTGCCGAATCGACTTGAATTATTATTATGAGGCGTTTTCGCATTACCAAACGCCTCTAGCACTGGACCCGCGCTTAAGATCGTTTGCTCCACACCACTGCCATGTGATCCTTTTTGACTTAACGCTGTTAGATGATGAAGGAGAAAATTTGTACTTTCAGTCTTTCCGGATCCACTTTCACCACTGATCACTATACACTGGTTTGTTCTCTCGCGTAGCATAGTATGGTACGCGGCGTCGGCGACCGCAAATATGTGCGGTGGAAGACTGGATCCTATCCGCTTATTCTGATACAGCTTCACATACTTAGGATTGTATATTGGATACAATTTAAATGGATTGACCGCTATTAATATTGATCCAACATATGTGTAAATATATCCCGCTGCAAACCTGGCTCTCAGGTTATCGAGTAGTGTCTGTTCATTTAGCTCTGGCAACTGACACAAATCAGGATACTCTCTGTCTTTGGGCTGATATAGAAACCTCTGGAAGTAGTCCTTTATCAGCTGCGGGTCCACAGAAAACTTCTCCATCCATGGCTCATCTGGAATTTTCTCCCGTAGGTAGAACCTGACAATGTGATAAATTTCAAATAAAGTTGATGCCATATTCGCATATAAATAACAAATATAAATATAATTACATTTGATTTAGTTGTAGTGTTTTAAATATTGAACAGTTGGGGAAACTTGAACAGTGTTGTGTTTAATGCAAGTGGCAAATTTTGTTTGGCAGGATGGCTGTTATCACGGCATACGACGACAGGAAGAGTGACTCACACATTACCACTGTAAATCCTAACAACTCTGTTTCCCTTCACTATGAATACTACAAATCTTAAATATTCATAATTTCGATGCAACTACGATCGTAATTTACTTTGATACAGTAATTATCCACACCCAGTAGTCAACTTATTCAAGTATGTACAAAACATATAAGGAAACAGGTAATTTACATAATTATGAGAGGTAAATGATTAAATGAATCATTGTAGTACAAGTCTGATACATATAAATAACATTCCAGATCATATAATAAAAACAACCTCATAGAATTAGTTTGAAATATATATTTTTTTACGATATCCTAATTCCATATAAATCACTTCACAACTAGGTACACCTTACAATTATATTTACAGTGAAATAAGACATAATTAAATTATAAACAACCTTCTATTTTCGTCTGGTAAATGTAAATATATTTTTTTCTAATCCAATTAGTTCCTGAGATTAGCATGTTCAAAGAAACAATTTTCATTACATAAGCATGGATTGTATATATTACATAATGTAACTATAAATACCTGTAGTATTGATCTGTATTGTTATTGGGCCACAGCAACATAACAGCAACCGGAGACTCATTGGGGCCGAGCCTTCTCTCCTTGCACTCCCCACTGACAGTATCTCCGACCACCTTAATAAGCATTTCAATTGAAATATACAGGACTAAAAATTTACTATTGCATATGGTATCTAGATAAATTACTGTCCACTTCTTTTATATTTATTTATGGTACTATTATTTACAAAAATGTCTTATTGCAGTTTTAATAAATACTTTTAGGAAGGAAAATTACATGAAACACACAAAACTTTTCTTGCATAAGAACTTTGTACATTAAATTATGACACATTTTATGACACTAACAAAAATCAACAGTTGACAAAAGTCATTTATCTACAGGAAAAAAAGACAATGTTGAATAACTATGATGACTAATATCATTGTTTTTTATTCTCTATTTAAGGAGATTGTACTTCACATATTTGTATACCATATCTAGTATTACTATTAAAATTACTAAAACACATAAATTTCTACCTGTGTACATCTTTGTTGATTGCATACTAGCTGTCGTACATGACTTCTGTGCAGAATTTAAAGAAAATCTAGTAATAACGTAGCATAATGTAGCTTTCTAATGGTGATAATTTTTTTATAACAAAGAACTAATAGATTTTAAAGTTGTATAATAAAGTATCTCACTATCAATTACATTATCAGCCAGCAAGGCTTTCTATCAGTATAAGTGAATTCTGATTTTTCTTTTGTACAACTTTTGCCATTCTGTTAATGCTTTTTGCATACAGTTATGTTCATTTAACTAACCTCAGCCAGTTCATATGGTCCACCAGATCCATCTGTTAATTTAAGTTTTTCTGTGATACAACATACTATCTCCTCGGAGCTTGTCTGCTTTGAGGCTTCTACGGATAGGGCCTCATATTGTGCCGACAGAGCTCCTACAAACACCTGCAAGTACAATAACTATATAAATATACATTTAATTGTATTAAATTAGTATTTGTTTATATAATTAAACATTTTTCTTATGTAACATTAGCATGTTTAAGCAAGAATGTATGTTCAAACCTGTTAAACTATTTTCCTCTCATAAAAAACTTTATAAGGAGACATAAAACTAACAACTGATATACAAACAAGATGGATTAACATCTCCAATACTTTGAAACTCACTAACCTGCACAATATATCTGTGATTTTCAGCATGTGCCATCCTGCACCATAGTTCTAATCCTGAGAGTTAAAATTATTGCATTGGCACCTCGATGCCATTTTTTTTGAAGTTCCGTCTTTATCGCTCATACTTTGTAAATTTATGCATCTTGCACAGATCATTAGAAACCTTCTTCTACCCACTGGTATATAAAATCGCAACTTACATGTAACTGTACATAATTATATAAATCGGAGTAAAATACGTTTGACCCCCTGCAAGATCTGCGGCTTGTGTTCATCCGTGACAGCATCACAAAATGTCATGTCTGTTGACAAATTTTTGCATGCTGCCTCTGCTTCAGTTCGTTACTTGTTTTTTTGTTACTACCAGTTCTTAAAATAATCAACACCAGACACAACTCAGAAGAGAAATCTTAGATGTGGGTCACATGCTGAACGAATACATATCCCAAGCACGATAGTTGTAGAAAATATGCAGGTTCAGTAATTTTTAAATTTACAAACCTTACTAATAAGTCAACTATGAGGTTTATAACAACTTTACTTAGGCCGTAAAAAACAACACTTCCGATTAACATACAGACTTATAGCGATTTCGGTGTCTTCAACAACCTGTTATTTGTCATACACAACTCTTATTTCACTAGCACACCACGTAGTCTGACCGACCATATATTTACAACTTAAACTTGTTTGAAATGTTTCTCACTTCTCAAACGTTTTCATTGATTTCAGCATCTTATTTCGATTTATAAATCCTTTTTAAAGAAATAGAACCACCATTTTTATTTGTGTGTTGAGATGAATCGTGTATCTATAGTTAAAGCGTGTAATTTAAAAATGCAATGTAACTTTAGACATAGCTTCCTGAGAAATAACTTCCAAATTCGGTAGGGTTGTACTTTCAACAGATAGCAAAATGTTTAACAATAGACAATATAAAATCCATTTGACCATAATGCTCCTTCGATTCATGTTATAACGATTCCATAAAAATGTTTTGTATTGAAAAGTAGCAAGTTCTAATAAGTTTATCTTATTTTGATAATTAGTTTGTAAAAAAATCTACACATGTCTTAAATTACCATCCCATATTTCAAATAATGACCAAGGTTTCACTTCACACTTTTTTCTGTGAATTTTATTTACAAATAAGTATTTGGCAAACATGTAATCATAATTTTTATAAGAACAAAAAAACTTCTTAAAGAAATCATGATTTCGTAATTTTTTCCAACTTCAGCCTCCGTTTCTATTAACTGACGCATCCGCGGCGAAAAGCGCCGAGGCACTTCGCCTCCTCGTTCTTTTAAGCTTCCGCTAAGAAGACCTCTGCTACAAGGATACAACTCTCTAACGTCTACGATTCTTGTGAGGTTAAATTGGTATAATTCATGAAATTAAAAAGTAAACTTTCAAAACGCTTTAATCAAAACTTCAAAATTGTTTACAAATCTAGTATAAATAAATAATGTAGTAATGGCACATAAGGCTTAATTAAAAATAGTTATTTGATGTTAAAACTATAACACTTAAAAATAACCGCGCCCGCGCGGGTTTAAAAATATCTTATTGTATTAAAATGAAACAAATAACATAATATCGGCACGATCTATGACTATTAGGTTACTTATAATTATCTTGAGAATATTTCACACGTAGCGTCTTGTCCTGTACGCATG